CCAGGAGGCCGCTGCCGCCCCCGCCCCGCTTCCCGGGCCTTTGTTGCTGCTGCGCCCGGGCTCCCCGGCTCTCACTGCGGCATCCGCGGCCCCATAAATCGTGAGAGCGACGTGCTCCAGAGCCGGGAGTGGAGAGGGCCGGGGAGCTGGGGGCGGGGCCGGGCCGAGCCACAGGCTCCCAGGCCCCCCCTCCCCAGTCACATGATCTGGACTCCTGGCTCCCACCTCCCGTCACGTGCAGAGGGTCTCTGCCCCTTGGGGTCACGTGGGGGAGGGTCTGCGACCCCGCCTCTTGGGGTCACGTGGGAGGGTGCTGGTGGGACACGTGCAGTAACCTCTTTTGACAGACCTGCAGTAGCCTCGGTTGACGGACCTGGGGCGGGTGGCTGGCTCCTGGGTACCTAGCCTTCTTCACCCCTTCCCCCACTCGGCCCCTTGAGTTAGTCCATGGGAACAGGCCAGACCTTTACCTAACCTGGCCCAGAAACTAGGACGCGGTGGGAGCAGCCTTATCGGAGGGAGTGTGGAGTCGGGGGTCTCCCGAGCCGGGTCCTGGATGGGGCGGAGTAGAGGGCCAGACATGTATGTCCCCCTTGCCAGCGCTTCATTTCTTTGAACTAAAGGAAGGTGCTGGTACTCGCCTCAAGAGCATCTTTTTTCTGGTGATCGCCCTACCTATCTTGGAAACGTTGCTGTTGCTGATCGCGTTCATTCACACATTCATTAACAAATATTTATTGAGATCTCTACTACGTCCGCGGTGGTCTGTTTTCGTCCGGTCGCCAATGTGCCCCGATTTCTCTTCTTTTCCACCTTGTCTTCTTCTCTGCTGTGGGCCTCTCTGGATCGGATGCTGAGTCTTGCGGTTCTCCAAGTCTTGCTTGGTTCTCATTCCTTTCCTCCCTCGCCTGGTTTCTGGCTTTCCCCGCTCCGCTGTGGCTCCCTCCCTCTCCCCTCTCGGGCGAATCCGTCTGTGTGTTCGCCTCCCCTCGGTGTATGGCAGACTCTTCCCATCTCTGTATCTCTCCCTTT